TGATTCGTGGACTTCAACTCCCAGAATTCCTGAGCCAGCATGGGGGAACTATGGCCCTTTCGTGACTTGCAGACTTGAACTCCCAGAATTCCTGAGCCAGCCTGGCTCAGCTTGGAAACCTCTCCCTTTCCCCTCAGCATGGCTGGCTCAGGAATTCTGGGAGTTGAAGTCCACCAGTCATCAAAGAGCCAAGGTTGCCCACCCCTGAGCTCGACAGACAAGAACAAGGAGAGCCTTTGCTTCTAACGCCTAATAGTTTATTTCTCATTTCCTCCAGGGTGTAAGCAGTTAAAGGCAGGCGCCTGAAGTAGTGAATGAGTTTCTAAGCTTCAGCCTGTACAGAGATGTCCTTGACTCGCCCAGCGTAATTTGTGTCAGTATGGTTCGGTTGTCACCGCACAAACTGAAGCAGTGACACTTAAATTTGCCAGGCACAGGAAAAGCCACACACAGGGAAGAGTAAAAAAACAACAACTCAAACCAAACTAGGATGGTTTAAACCAGCCACCTTAGCAACACCAAGGTTGCCTAGGGCCGCGGGCGAGTGTGCTAAAAACGTACAAGACATAGCTTCTTAGGATTTTTTAAACGAGGCTGGAGTCTTACATGCGTGATCACATATGCGGAGGAAGACGGCAAAGGTCATCCTCGATTTAACAACAGTTTATATAGTGTCCTTTCAAAGGCACAAGGGCCTTGAAAAAAGAGACGACCGTTTTTCACACTTACAAATGTTGTCCCCATGGGTCATGTGATTAAAATTCAGGGGCTTGGCAACAGACTCTTATTAATGATGGTCGCAGTATCCTGGGGTCACGTGATTCCCCTTTTGTGACCTTTCTGACAAGCAAAGTCTTGGTAAGGCCACACTTGGCATACGGCATCCAGTTTTGGTCACCACGATGTAAAAAAGATGTTGAGACTCTAGAAAGAGTGCAGAGAAGAGCAACAAAGAGGATTAGGGGACTGGAGGCTAAAACATATAAGGAACGGTTGCTGGAATTGGGTATGTCTAGTTTAACGAAGAGAAGGACGAGGGGGGGACATGATAGCAGCATTCCAGTATCTCAGGGGCTGCCCCGAAGAAGAGGGAGTCAAGCTATTCTCCAAAGCGCCGGAAGGCAGGACAAGAAGCAACGGATGGAAACTAGTCACGGAGAGAAGCAACCTAGAACTAAGGAGAAATTTCCTGACAGTTAGAACAATTGACCAGTGGAACCACCTGCCTCCAGAAGCTGTGAATGCTCCAACACTGGAAGTTTTTAAGAAGAGACTGGACAGCCATTTGTCTGAAATGGTATAGGGTTTCCTGCCTGAGCAGGGGATTGGACTAGATGACCTCCAAGGTTCCTTCCAACTTTACTATTATTATTATTGTTATTATTATTATTATTATTATCATCATCATCATCATCATCATCATCATTAAAGTCAGTGGGGGAAGCTGTGTTCCGTTAGCAACCATGTGACTAACTCAACCACTTGAGTGACAACTGTGCCAAGGAAGATCATAAAATGGGACCTAACCCCTGTCTTGCTTAGCAAGCGATTCTTTGGTGGTCGTAAGTCAAGGACCCCCTGTAATGCACGCCCCTCTCTCTGCAAAACACAAGGATACTTGACAGCTTTAGAGCAGGTGGGAAAGATCTGAAGGTCTGATTGGAGAGGAAAGAGGAAATAAAGATTTAGGGAATGAAAAAAGACTTAGGGGAGAGCTGATATCCGCCTTCAGATAGGTTGAACGTTGGCTTCCTTTTCTTTGATTTATGGGCCCACCTGTCTCACTGAAGCGATTCTGGGGAAGATGTTCAGAGCCCATTTTTCATTGCCAGAGATTCTGAAGATCAGAAATAATGGCTGCCAAGTGCACTTACTCGGGTTTCGTTGAATGATATAAAGAAAAACATCCCGACGCTAAGAATCTGTAGAAGGGTGGAACGATTTAGCCTTGGAAGGCTCCTCCCTCCCCAGATTAAACTATTCTTTATCCTTAATATTAAAAAGAGGCAGAGTATTATATTTCCCCAAAGGAGAAAAGGAGGAAAAAAAAATGCTAACAAAGGCAGAAAGGAGCCCCAGTCTCCCTGCCATAAGAAAAACAGTTTCAAACCAAGAGAATCCTTTAGGAATGCAGATTTTGTATCCATTCCGGAAGACTGGCCCAATCTATTCAGGAATCCAGCCACAGAAGGCCGGAGCTGATGGGATTGAGAATTTACATCCTCCCCACCCCAATTCTAAGGACAGGACATGACTGTTAGGACATAAAGGGGTCAATCCACCACCATTAGACCAGCAAAAGGCACAAGGATCACCACATTGCACAACCCCCTGGAGCATCTCAATCAGAACCCTATAAAGATCCATCCACTCGCCCAGCCATTTTATTAGCCACCCCAAAAAGATGCTGCAGCCCCTGAAGTTTCTAGCAACTCAACAAAGAGACCTCCTTTCCAAAATGCAGCCTGCCTTCAGCTCATTTCTATAGCGTCCTCCCGGCTTGGAACAGGACCTGGTTTTTCTTCCAGCATAGTGATGGAGCAGGGAGTTCTCCATCTGAAATAAGGAGAAACTTCCTAAGAGTGAGGACAATTCACCAGCATCTGTCAGAACAGAGCTGGAAGGGACCTTGGAGGTCTTCTAGTCCAACCCCCTGCTCAAGCAGGAGACCCTATAAAATTTCAGACAGGTTGCTACCCAGTCTTTTCTTAAAAACCTCCAGTGATGGAGTACGATTGGGATCCTTGGTGCTCTCCAAGCTATGTGTTTTTCTTGCAGACATTTCATGACCCAACTAAGTAACATCATCAGTGCTAGAAGGGAGTGGGATTTATGGAGAAGAGGAGACGGAGGAGGAGGAGAAGGAGGAGGAGGACTGTGGGATCCTTGGTGCTCTTTTGAGCTTTCTTGTTTTCTTGGAGACGTTTCATTACCCAACTAGCTAACATCATCAATGCTAGAAGGGAATGGGGATTGTGGGGAGGAGGAGGAAAGAGGAGAAGGAGGAGGACTGTGAGGTTCTTGGTACTCTCTTGAGCTTTGTGCTCTCTTGTTTTCTTGGAGACGTTTCATTACCCAACTAGGTAACATCATCAGTTATCAAGTAAGATAAGGATAGGCCTCCAGAAAATCAGGACTTCTGGAATTATAACGGTATGATATGAACATGATATGATAAACAGTTGCAGGAACTGGGTATGTCTAGTCTAATGAAGAGAAGGACTGGGGGTGTGTGACAGGATAGCGGTGTTCCAGTATCTCAGGGGCTGCCTCAAAGAAGAGGGAGTCAAGCTATTCTCCGAAGCGCCTGAAGGCAGGACAAGAAGTAACGGGTGGAAACTAATCAAGGAGAGAAGCAACCTAGAACTAAGGAGAAACTTCCTGACAGTGAGAACAATTAACCAGTGGAACTACCTGCCTCCAGAAGTGGTGAATGCTCCAACACTGGAGGTTTTTAAGAAGAGACTGGACAGCCATTTGTCCGAAATGGTATAGGGTTTCCTGCCTGAGCAGGGGGTTGGACTAGAAGACCTCCGAGGTCCCTTCCAATTCTGTTATTCTGAATCCTTTCCAGGCTGCTTACACCTGTGTCCACAGGAGGCTTGCACCTTCCTCAGAAAAGGGTGCTGGGCTGGAGGGAAGACAACGTCTCTGTGCCCCACAGATACGCTGCTTTCTTCTATGCTCTCCTTTGAGGATGAGAGATGAAGATGGGGCCAAATAGGAGAGCGGAGATGGGGGATTAGAGATGGACCCCTTTCCGTGTTTCCCTGTGTAAAATCCCCTTTCAAAAAAGCATATAGATGGTTGTGTGTGTGTGTGTGTGTGTGTGTGTGTGAATAGAATAGAGTAGAAAATATGGAATAGAATAGAAAATATGGAATGGAATGCAATAGAATAGAATAGAAAATATGGAATAGAATAGAAAATATGGACTAGAATAGAATGGAATGGAATGGAATAGAATAGAATAGAATAGAAAATATGGAATAGAATGGAATGGAATGGAATGGAATAGAACAAAAAAGAAAATATGGAATGGAATGAAATGAAATAGAATAGAATGGAATAGGATAATGATTAGAATAGAATAAAAAATATGGAATAGAATAGAATAGAAATTGAATAGAAATTGAATAGAATGAAGAATAGAATAGAATAGAATAATGATAAGAATAGAATAGTATAGAATAGAATAGAACAGAATGATAAGAATCGAAGTAGAGTAGAATAGAATAGAATAGAACAGAATAGAATAGAATAGAAAATATGGAATAGAATAAAATACTTTATTGGTATGTGTATATTTGTATGTCTATGTATGTGTATGCGGTGTATGTATATATGTATCTATTGAATGTATATACGAGTGTGTATGTGTGTGTGTGTGTGTGTGTGTTAGTTGCTGCTTTTTCCCTGCTTTTTTTTTTTCCCAGTCCAGCCTTTGGCTCTGGGATCACCTGCTGGTCTCCCATCCCATACCATCCTATCCCATCCCGCTTAGTAGCAGAGCCTGTGCTTCGCCTTGCTACCTCCGTGGCGCGTCTTGCCCAGGCGCTGCCCTCGGCCCCCTTTTCCAAAGTGCTAAACTCTCTCTTTCCTCGCCATCCCCCCCCACGCCGTTTTCTCTCTCTCTCTCTCTCTCTCTCTCTCTCTCTCTCTTTCTCTCTCTTTCCCCCCGCCGTTCTCTCTCTCTCTCTCTTTCTCCCTCTCCCTCTCTCTGTCTCTCTCTCTCTATCTCTCTCTTTCCCCTATTTCTCTCTCTCTCTCTCTCTCTCTCTGTCTCTCTCTCTATCTCTCTCTTTCCCCCCCGCCGTTCTCTCTCTCTCTCTCTCTCTTTCTCTCTCTCTCTCTCTCTCTCTCTCTGTGTGTGTGTGTGTGTGTTTGTGTATGCAATATTCCCCGCTTCAACCCCCCCCACCCCCCGCGTTTCCGCCCACGTCGTGGCCGTTCGCTGCATTAGGAAGCGCAGCCACAACGCCGGACTGGAAAAGCCCAGCTGAGAGAGAGAGAGAGAGAAAAGCGAGCCGGGCCTCCGGCTTGCCAGCACGCGCTTCCCCGGGAAAGGCGGACTCGCCACGGAGGCGGCGGCGGGGGCGGCGGAGGAGGCACCGCCGGGGAGAGAGAGAGAGCCCAGCCTCGGGGCGGCTTCCAGGAGGAGCCGCCCTGCCTGGCCGGAGACCCTCGCCCGTCGCCCGGCGGTGGCGGCGGCGGCAGGGAGCCCCCCGCTCGCCCCCTTCCCAGGCTCCGGCTGTGCGCCCCTCTCCAAGCGCGCTCTTTGTCCGCGGCGGCGGCGGCGGGGCAGGAATTTCGCCCCGCTCCCTCCGCCAGGCAGGCAGGCAGGCAGGCAGGCTCGGCCGCCGCCGCCGCCCCTCCTTCCCCGGCGAGGCTTCGCCCAGCCTCCCCGCTCGCTCCTCGCCCACCCGGGCTGCCGACCAGCCGCGCGCCGCCGCCGGAGCTGGGCTAGGGAAGGCAGGCAGCCCCCGCGCCCGGCCGGAGACCCTCGCCCAGGTAAGGGGAGGGGAGGGGAGGGGAGGGGAAGGGACCCGGGAACCCCCCTTCCTTGCCTTGGCTGAAGGCTCCGGAGGAGGCGGAGAGCCCCAGCACCGATGCGCAGAGCCCGGGCGACGCAGGGCAGCCGCGGGGAGAAGGAGGAGAACGTAGGGCCGGGGCCAAGGAAGGCAGGAAGGCGCAGGCAGGGCGGGGAGGAGCGCCGGCCGCGGCTTTTCCCTCCGTCGCCTTTCTGCCTTCCTCGGAGCGCTGCAAAGTTTGCGCCGCGCTCCCGGCCCTTGGCCGTCCGGGCGCAACCGAAGTTTCTTGCCCAGGTATTTTTTTTTTTGGGGGGGGGGTTTCGGGGGGAAACGGAGGGCAAGGGTCCCCGACATGCCTGCCTGCCTTGCGGAGGGGGCCCCGGGCTCCGGGCAAGGAGTTGCGTCCGACAATGTGGAGGGGGGTAAGAGCCGAGTTGTGCGTAATGGAGAGGTGACGGGGTGGGTGAAGGAGACCCGAGGGAAAGCTTTTTTTGGGGGGGGGGTTTCCTTTCAACCCCCCCGGGGTTAAAGCAACCTGCTTTCCTTTTTTTTGAGGGGGGGGAAAATAGCTTGCAGCGTGTGTCTTTTCAAAGCATAGTTTCTGCCTTTGGAGGAAACGCTTCGGGGCGACCCCAGTGGGCGGGCGAGTGTTGCGTGTTTGTGACTGTTTTTGAAGAAGAGGACTACCCTGCAGGGCTGGAAGGGGGAGAGTTCCTTAAAGGGCGGGCATAGCTTTTTCCAGAGGGAAACCCTGGCAGATAGTCTGGGAGACTGGAAACAGCACTGGGATTTGTGTGGATATTCTCTCTGGGCAGCTTTTCAGCAAAGTGAGCCAGGGTTGAGCACTGCGTCCCTCTCCGTCCTCCAACTCGCCTCGTCCAGCGACTTGTAACAGCTGTGGATCTCAGTCAAACAGCTGGGCTGTTCGGGAAGAAAACAGGAGCCAAGGCCAGGAATTTTGTCTTTTCCTTAAGAGAAAGAAATCTGTTTTTGTGTGTGTGTGTGTGTGTGTGTGTGTTTTGTTTCCAAAGCCCTTGTTTATCTGCTCTGAACATTTTACTGTTCAGCTTCGTGTCTACGGAGGTTCTCCGTCCTCTAGGTCCAGGGTTGTCCCAAAGGTGCTTTTTTTCAGGGGGCAACTGGACCTTTCTTGTTTTGCTATGAAGACGTTTCGCTTCTCATCCCAGAAGCTTCTTCGGCTCTGACTGGATGGTGGGGAGAATGGAAGGATTTATATGAATGATATGGGATTATAAATCCTTCCATTCCCCACCATCCAGTCAGAGCTGAAGAAGCTTCTGGGATGAGAAGCAAAATAATCTTCAAAGAAAAAACAAAGTCCAGTTGCCTCTTGAAAAACACACCCTGTTCATCTTCATTTCATGAATGAGGATTCGGAACAAAAGGAAAGCTTTCTTCCTTCCTTCCTTCCTTCCTTCCTTCCTTCCTTCCTTCCTTCCTTCCTTCCTTCCTTCCTTCCTTCCTTTCTTCTTCCTTCCTCCCTCCCTCCCTCCTTCCGTCCTTCCTTCTTTCTTCCTTCCTTCCTTCCTTCCTTCCTTCCTTCCTTCCTTCCTTCCTTCCTTCCTTCCTTCCTTCCTTCCTCCTTCCTTCCTCCTTCCTTCCTTTCTTCTTCCTTCCTTCTTTCTTCCTTCCTTCTTCCTTCTTCCTTCCTTCTTTCTTTCTCCCTTCCTCCTTCCTTCTTTCTTTCTTTCTTTTTTTCTTTCTTTCTTTCTTTCTTTCTTTCTCCCTTCCTTCCTTCCTTCCTTCCTCCTTCTTTCTTTCTTTCTTTCTTTCTTTCTTTCTTTCTTTCTTTCTTTCTTTCTTTCTTTCTTTCTCCCTTCTTCCTTCCTCCTTCCTTTCTTCCTTCCTTCCTCTTTCTTTCTTTCTTTCTTTCTTTCTTTCTCCCTTCCTTCCTTCCTTCCTTCCTTCCTTCCTTCCTTCCTTCCTCCTTCCTTTTCTTCCTTTCTTTCTTCTTTCTTTCTTTCTCCCTTCTTCCTTCCTCCTTCCTTTCTCCTTCCTTCCTCTTTCTTTCTTTCTTTCTTTCTTTCTTTCTCCCTTCCTTCCTCCTTCCTTCCTCCTCTTCTTCTTTTCTTTCTTTCTTTCTTTCTTTCTTTTTCTTTCTTTCTTTCTCCCTTCCTTCCTCCTTCCTCCTTCTTTCCTTCCTTCCTCCTTCCTTCCTTCTTTCCTTCCTTCCTCCTTCTTTCCTTCCTTCCTTCCTCCTTCCTTCCCTCCTTCCTTCCTTCCTTCCTTCCTCCTTCCTTCCTTCCTTCCTCCTTCCTTCCTTCTTTCTTTCTTTCTTTCTTTCTCCCTTCTTCCTTCCTTCCTTCCTTCCTTCCTTCCTTCCTTCCTTCCTTCCTCCTTCCTTCCTTCTTTCTTTCTTTCTTTCTTTCTTTCTTTCTTTCTTTCTTTCTTTCTTTCTCCCTTCTTCCTTCCTCCTTCCTTTCTTCCTTCCTCTTTCTTTCTTTCTTTCTTTCTTTCTTTCTTTCTTTCTTTCTTTCTTTCTTTCTCCCTTCCTTCCTCCTTCCTTCCTCCTCTTCTTCTTTTCTTTCTTTCTTTCTTTCTTTCTCCCTTCCTTCCTCCTTCCTCCTTCTTTCCTTCCTTCCTTCCTCCTTCCTTCCTTCTTTCCTTCCTTCCTCCTTCTTTCCTTCCTTCCTCCTTCCTCCTTCCTTCCTTCCTTCCTTCCTTCCTTCCTTCCTTCCTTCCTTCCTTCCTTCCTTCCTTCCTTCCTTCCTTCCTTCCTCCTTCTGTTTTCTTTTTCCAAACCAAAGAACTTGTTCTTTCTAAAAACCGTGGCCCCCTTTTCCCCATGAACAGAAAACATCAGCCTTCATATAACGTTGAGATGCTTGCACAGAATATCCTAAATGGAGTTGCAAGCTCACCTGTTAAGCGTCTCACATTGTTCCGTTGATCGGGTCTGCCTTTTTTCTGGACTTGCCGTTTCTGCAAAGACCGATGTTTTACTATTGCTGCTGCTTTACCTGTGGAAGTGATGATTGTGGCTGATTTTTCCTTGCCTCGCACATCTTGGTCAAATATATAAGGGCATCTGCAAGCAATTTCTTCTGTGTGATCCCAAACCTTTTGAGAGACCTAACTCCATCTCTTCTCCTTTTTATGGAGATGGATGCTATTTGCAGCCCATTCCTGCGTCTTGAAGGAATTATGGGATGACTCCTCTTTTCCAACGTTGCGTGCTTGTTTGCGACTTCACGTCTGCATTGAGGTGATCGTGTGTAGTTTTCTGGGCCAGATTTTCAGAAGTGGCTTGCCATTGCCTTCTCCCTAGGGCTGAGAGAGAATGACCGGCCCAAGATCACCCAATTGGCTCCTAGTTTCTAGCCTGGTTCCATAACCACTAGGCCATCGTGTTTCTCCAGCATTTAATTGAGTCCAGCTTGGAAAAAAAGGCAATTTTGCCAGCGTGATAGTCTCACATATTTTGCTGGAATTACACACTTTTACAGAACTTGTCAAAGGATGCTGCTTGAGCTGGCTTTGCTCTGCTGATCCTGCACTAGTGTGAATGGAAGACTTTTGAGGTACCTCAGTGCATTTATACATCTTTTTTTAATAAAAAATTGTTTGCAATCACTGCTATCCAAGAGCAGAAGAACGCAGACCCAAAGAATACGTGGCAAGCCACCAGGCACGTGCGTACGGGTCCTTGAGGAAAAATGTAACATGTTTTCGCTTGCACGAGTGTTGGTGAAGCATTAGAAATGGGAAACGCTTTGTTGAAATCCATGAAACATTGGAAAATCCAGGAGACATTCACAGAGCATTGTCTTTTACTCTTAGCTAGCTCAGATGGAGCAGCAATTGGCTGAAGGTGGTCTTTGGTGAGCATTTAACCGGTGGGTCCTTTGTACTCAGCTATTAGTTAGCTCAGATGCCTTGGTAAGGCCACACTTGGAATGCTGCATCCAGTTTTGGTCACCACGATGTAAAAAAGATGTTGAGACTCTAGAAAGAGTGCAGAAAAGAGCAACAAATATGATCAGGGGACTGGAGGTTAAAAAATATAAGGAACGGTTGCTAGAATTGGGTATGTCTAGTTTAACGAAGAGAAGGACGAGGGGGGACATGATAGCAGCGTTCCAATATCTCAGGGGCTGCCCCAAAGAAGAGGGAGTCAAGCTATTCTCCAAAGCCCCTGAAGGCAGGATAAGAAGCAACAGAGAGAGATTAATCAAGGAGAGAAGCAACCTAGAACTAAGGAGTAACTTCCCGACATCGAGAATAATTAATCAGGGGAACTACTTGCCACCAGAAGCAGTGAGCACTCCAACAATGGAAGTTTTTAAGAAGAGACTGGACAGCCATTTGTCTGAAATGGTATAGGCTTTCCTGCCTGAGCAGGGGGTTGGACTAGATGACCTCCAAGGTCCCTTCCAACTTACTATTATTATTATTATTATTATTATTATTAGATGGAGCAACGATTGTTTAATGGTGCTCTTTGCTAAGCCCTGAATCTCTGAAGCATGCAGATAGCACCATGCCAAAAGCACCGCTGCCCCTCCATTCAGTCCCAAATTTATGTTGCTTGCTGAGAAATTTTCCCCGTTTTAACGACTTTCCTTGTCACGTTTGTTAAGCGAAGCGCTGAAGTTGTTAAAATTAGTAACACGGTCATTGAGCGAATCTGGCGTCCCCATTGGCTGGTCAGAAGGTCACACAAGGTCACACAAAAGGGGAACCACCTGACCCCAGCCATCATAAATATGAATCACTTGCCAAGCATCCGAATTTTGATCCCGTGACGGTGGGGCAGGCTACGACGGTCGTAAGTGTAAAAAAAACCTGAAGTCCCTTTTTTCAGGGCGGTTGTAATTTCAGACGGTTACTAAGTGAACTGTTGTAAGTCGAGCAGCACCTATATTTGAGGTCTGCAACAGTGAGGCACAGGTTGGTCTTAATGTGCATTGAGGATGCTCAGCAAATGGATTAGTGGATGCTCAGGAGGTTGTTGTTGAT